ACGAAAATGCGGTTTCTGATATCAACCCTAACCCTCTGCTCTAAGTGTTTGTACCGGCACAATATGCTAAATTTTCAAATGTTCAATTTGCAAATACTGACCAAAAATCTGTGCATATTTKTGAYCAGAAACCTCAAAAGAACCGACAAAGTTGCCTTATTTTAGTGGTACAAAAACACATAATATGGTCATTTTCCACATTCATAGATTGTGAACCACAACGAAATTTTATCCGTTGAAAAATAACAACCACTCTAATCAGAATAGATGCAAAAGCACTCAGCAATGACGACTTTTTATTTCTATAAAAGATAGAAATGCCAATGCATTGGAAATGTGTCTTAATGAGAAATGACACGACGATCAAGAGAAAATACGGATTAATGAAGTGGGCTCTTATTGGTCGGCACCGGATAATTTAAACTCGAGACTCGTTTTCCAGTCAACGTAAGCTTCCTAATTGCTTTAATTCTCTTGGGAATCAAATACGATTGGTTTTAATGGAAAATACGTTTATTTTTATCACAAAGTGACTGCTTCAAAATTCAGAGACAGATAATTATGGGTTTGTGGAGGTTTATCGTGATATATGGTGGAGACTGTGTGCCCGCCTGATAATACACACTTTTTAATTAAAAAAATTGAAAATTTCAGGTATTGTCAGTAGAAAAAAAATTGGTTTAAAACCATTGGCAAAGTTAAAGATCAGTCCCAATTCAATAAAAACTCTTCATAATTTAGTTATTTAAATATACCAACGAGTCACTTTTTATTAATAATTATAGAAAAAAATAAGAAGCTACTTTTGACACCGGTGGTCAATTGGCATTCACCATTTTGTCATTGCATGAAAAGTGGTAGATAGTATTTAGTAGTGAAAAAGTAAGTATATAGACAAAAATACTGCATAAGGAAATTAAACCATGATCGAATTGCCCTATTTCAGTAGTCAACTTTCAAACCGATCCCGTCGAATGTGGTTACCGAAACTAACATCAGATCAATCTCGAAAGCATGGGGATAATACGCACCTCTCCAAGAAACATTTCCAATCCCTGTCCTCATGTTTACGAAACGGCCTTTAGAAAGCTTAAACTAGCAGCTTTATTCCCCACGGGCAGAAAACCTCTATAGAACAAAAAAAGTAAGTTGGAAATTTTATTTCTTGTCCTTTTTGTCTTTCCATGGATTTTCGTTAGTTAAACTGACCATATATTATCCATATGAACCGAATTCCATCCGGTGAAATTTTGGCTGCATAGCCACGCTAGTTCCTTGAGGATATTGACAATCAACCCTAACTGAAGGCACAAATCGATTTTAGAAGTACGAAAGAAACTGAATATTAGAAGAAATACGAAAATGTACACTTTAGCCTGGTTGAAGTTATGCAACCCTGCGTACAATTAGCCCAATTACCTTCAAGTTAAAACATACCGTATTTATTTTTAGATGCCTGCTGACTCCAATTTTGAGGTCTTAAATGTGCCAATCGCCCTCATAAATTGAGAGAATGTGGGTGATGCCACTTTATAGTTTTCGCACACTCAATGATAAACTTCCTTTCTATGCTCAGCCGGAAAATCGATACGTCGGAGGACGCCTAAACTAGGAAACTCGATTTGAAAAAGTTTTCGTATTAAAAACCGACATAACTTGAGCAAGAACGCATCATCCAGCGTATGGTTTAACGACGAAAAACATCCTCATAAAATGATAGAAAACAGAAAATAATCCCCATAGAACAAACAAATATCGTTTGCCTGTCACAAGCTAATCTGATTAGAGTAAAATAATTTGCTCTGGCTCCATCTAGGAGCAAAAGCTCGAATTTACATAGTTCAGCAGTAGTCCTAGTTTGTGCCTGCAGAGCACATTGCCGCCATTGGCTGCGTGGCGTCGGCAATCATAGTCGTCTGACAGTTTAATCTAATATATGAAGAAAAAGCACGGCCCAGGCTTAGTATGGCGGACCAATGGGGGTTGCAGGAAACCAGTTTAAATGGTGGCCATTGCGTTTAGGGAGTGTTTTTGTTCCAGCAAATTACACCCCTTGGTTTGCGACCGGAGTGGGGATTAGATCATTGCTGAGCGCGGTAGGAGAAAGATGGGCTGGGCTCAGGCAATATACATAGTTTGAATATTAAGAGTGAAGAGTTAGAGTTAATCCGATAGGTGAACTTGGAAAGAATGCAGTATTTCAGCTTATCCGAGAAAAAAATTTAAATAGGAGTTTTGCTTGCGCAGGTCATGTCGCATTTATCTTGATCCTTAGTTTATAAACTAGATATTGAATTGTTGATATTTAAACTTCCTGCTCATAATTAATATGAGACGAAATTAAAAGAATAAACGAGGTATCTATGTATTGGCCACGATTTTGAACTAGTTCTACCAATTGTCTATATTTGCACACTTATTCACACGTACAATAAAAACCAATGAGCATTAAACCACAAAAATTAAATCTACCCTCCCGGTAGTAGAATGTGAGTACAAATGTATGTTTTTGAGGGCAATATGCTAGCATGCTAATACCGTTAATAAAGATGTGTCCGCGTTATTTTACGACACCTATAAAATGATTTACAAAAATTTTCACGCAATGATCAACACGATGTAAAAGATAAAATTTTAACCTAACCCAAGTTGTCTGTAGTTGCCTTTCATTGCCTCTTAACTTTTATGGCATATAAAAGCTACCTTTTATGAGCTCTTTACGAGAACCAGTCAGCAATCAATCTTTGCGCAGTTGAATGGAATATTTGCGCTACTACACAGTTAGATTCCCAAGCATCAATGAAATACGTTTATTTATACCTACTGTTAATTGAGTTTTGTGGAAAATGAATAGCTTCCTGTTATTTTACTGTCTTAATATTCGTTGCACATCGACAGTTAGTGCAGTCTTATACAGAATCGTAGCCCATCCATATTTTATTAGTGGAAATGTTGATATTATCAAGAACCCATGTCGCTTGCAAATATTACTTTCAAGTCCAGATGCTTATATAGAAATTAAATAATTACGAATTTTATTATATACTGAACGATTAAGAAATCCATAATATCGACTGAATAACAAACATGTTCTTCAATTACGCCGACGTGGTACATTCAATTAAGGTGACGGTGTCTTTTGCCCAGCTGGTTTCCAATATAAATGCAAAAGATGCTTGAACAGAAAATGGGCAAATGTCAGAATCGAAAATAATATCAAGAAATTACGGGTACAATTAAGCGCAGAAATTTACAATGACATGAGCGCAATATTTTGCTGAATTTACGACAACATGGTACATTGATGTTAACCATTTGGGTAGTGTTGTGCAAATGTCTACATACGTATATCCACAGGATGGCATAAAATATTTTAAATCGCGTTAAGGAATTTCCGAAGGCATGTATTTATTAACAGATATTGTCATTATTTTATGCACTATCCAGCATTCTGCCCACAAGATAGGTGTGTAATTGAAACTCGACCAAACTTCCTTATTTACCGAGTGCATGGAATCGAATTTCTACCAAAGGAACATGGATAAAATTAAATACGTCTTCTGAATAATACTGCCTAAAGGCACACGGTCACTTCTGCAGCATACATTTGTAGTATTAAGCTTGACTCAAACAGGAGCTTGGACACATAATCATGAATATTATTCTGAGAACAGAAAATAGTGAATTAATTTGTTAGAGAAAATCCTACGTGACCAATCACATTAACCAAACTTTGCTGTATTGAATAGGCAATTAGGCCTCTTATCATGGAATATATTACGTTGATTTGTTTTTTAATTCCGTTGAGATATATGTATGGCACCATAATGACGTGAAGTAGGCGGTTTTCATACTTTGATGTGTTTCAATGATAATTAGTTGGAGCAATTAAGCTATCTGTATTCAGCGCGAAAATAAACAGATGTACCATTAGCAGTGGTCTTTGAGTTATAAGCCGGTAACTCCACTAATTCGAGAAATTTTCAATATACACAATATGGGCATTGAGAACTGAGAGCGTATGCTGGTGGGCTGAAAAATTTAAATATACGCACAACTTTGATGTCGATTGAAGTAAAGAATGTCAATAAAATTAAAAACTCAGCAACATTAACTATGTTTGTTTTATATTCAAATGTTAAGTGCAAAATCTCTTGACGCTCATTTTTATAAATTTTTTTCACCCACTTGATTATGGATCACCCAAAAACGTCAAACTGTCTGTAATTCGATTTTTTCAAGTCCATAGTTTCGACCTTTCAACACAGTGACATTTGGTTAAACATTCCTGTTAGTAAGTCTGTTACTGAGTCGAGCTTGCTAATCATTCAGTATGTCATCAAAGGCCAGGGATTAAAAATATTCTCGACAAGCATCATATTTTTATAAGGTTATCTCTCGTTCAAGTGACATCAGAAAAAATGTTTGAAACCGAAATTTGAGAGGTCATTACCAAATTGAATGTTATCAAAAAAATTCTCCACCTTCGACCTCACATTATTATAACAATATACTAAAAGGACGGTTATTCACACATTAGTTAAGCAGATAGACAACAAAGCATTGCAGCTAAGTACCATAAATTTAATAGATAATATATTTGGGAAAAATACTTCAGTTAAGCATATTTGCGATGACAATATGAAAATATAAGTGGGCCGATAGTTAGCAATAGGCCAAGCAGAATGTGGGTTAAAGAAAAATCATCATCACCTACAAGCGAGAATTAAATTAAATTAAAAAGCGTTTCGAAGTGTAGGTGCAGACTCAAGTATGTAGGGTGTAGGTATGAAATGGTGCCATTTTGTTGCATTTCGTCGAAATAATTGAACTTTACCATGCAACTAAATGAAACTCGCAATTGTGAATATTCCACTTTSAAACTGCTCCACCGTTAATATCAAGCAATGAAAGTTATTTATTCAAACATGTCATAGGTACATACCTATGACATGTTTGAATAAAATGAAAATTTGACAATGAAAAAAACAATTACTCACCATCTTTTATCGACTGTTGACGCTCACCACGTTGTAGGTGTTGAAACTGTAAAAGACAACAAAACAATTARCCAATTATCCATCTGTATTATAGTAGAGTAAATGCAAGTTGAGAAACCTGATAAATGTTAATGTAAAATAATGGAGGAAAACCATTATCGAGTCGTGAGCAAAATAACGAACAATTTTAAAATTGTTTTACGTAGGTACAATTGTAGAATGAATGATGTTATTTGTTCGACATGGCTGGTTATGGCTGATTATTGTTCGACACGTGGAAACGTAAAAGTTTAGTAGTAAAAGACCGAAGGTTATTTTTGAGATTCGTAACTTAATATTGTTACTATAATACATTCTTTCGGTCTGATGGTCGTATTTGAAAATATCCATGTCTAAATTGTTGGATCTTTGAAATGCCTAAATAGACTAAAACGTCTCAAATAAAGCAAAGATACATATACGGAATGTATGTATGTATGTAACAAAACTATGGCCAGTCAAGGCTATTAATAAGGTTAACGAAGAGGTAAGCGGACCTGAACCTTAGAAACCAAAATGGGCAGATCTAAATTAAAATGTTATTAATTCTGATAATCATTTTACTCACACAGCAACGAGTTTCTTCCCAAAAATAATTGAAAAACTATCAGTCGAAATATTTGGGAAATAATTTTCATAGGCAAGGAAATAGACTTTACCAATTATCTTTTTATCAACCATCAATAATTTTTCTATTTATTTGGCTGGCAAAACCGGAAATTATTATTTATCATTGCCGTAGTCAAAACTTGTTGAACACATCCTTTGGCTATGCGTAGGTATATCTAATTAGAATATATCTATAATCCATTTCTAATTTAGATCGCATTCATATATTCATTTCATTTTTTTGCGCTCATTCAGAAGACAAAATGTCTTTCTAACAGCAGAAATAAAACTAATCAGATCGGCACATAAGTATAGAAGAATGAAGACTGATGTGGACAAGATCACCAGAGCAATTTTAACAGATGTCACGCAAAATGATAGTGGATCTGAAACAGGGCGGGAAATAACAACAATTCGATAATTTACATCCTAATATAAATTGCGTCATAAAATATCGATAAAATACCCCGTAAATATGCCTAAACTACGTTTCGACTACCTTAGCGCGTATGTAGTATTTCTTGTATTTGCTCGTAAAACACCCAACAATAAAACGATAATAGAGTTATAAGAGTCACATAAAAGTTTAATAACTTAATAAAATTATGCAAACATACTCGCGCGAATTGATATAAACGAATTGTTTAAGGAAGCGGAATCAATTTTGCAGCTTAATAGTTTTTGTTAATGATCCATTACGATCCATTTCTGTTGAGTCGGCACTTCATTAAGGCGTAATTATTATATCAAGATTAAGGTCGGAATTATTCATTTTCAAATCCTGCCTGCGTTTTAAATGGTAATCATATTTGCTGAATATTAATTGAATCGTGTAATAACTTAAACTACACTGGTGCAATGCATAATGATAGTGAATCAAAATGAGGAACTGAATTTCATTCTAGGAACTAATGAAGATCGTGTCTTATACTTAAGTCTTAAAATGTTCATAGCTGGTTGTAAACTTAATTCGAAGTTATTACATTGACCGTGGCAATAAATGTCTAAGTCAATTATTAGGTATCCAGGTCATTAAAAACTAATGTTTAAGAATAAATTGGATATATTTTCCTGACTGTATTTCAACTTAATTCAAAAGAAATTCCTGGGTTCCAGTAAATTTTATTGTTTACCATTTAAAATGTCACCAAAACGTTTCGGTGTTTTTCTCCACCATCATCAGTCTTCACATTTAGCAAGCCACTATGAGTGGCAGGAGAAAAACACCGAAACGTTTTTGTGACATTTTAAATGGTAAACAATAAAATTGACTAGAACCCAGGAATTTCTTTTGAATTAAATTTAAGAATAAACACACACATTTGTATTAGTGCACGCGAAGTAAATTAGATTAAATTCTTTTGCTGTGTCACAATCGAGCCTCAATTACTTAACGAAAATTAATAAAGTGAACATTATTTAAACAAAACTTTCCAGGTACCAGTAAAACTTTCACAATTTAGTTTCAGCCTGAATTCTGTATCTGGTTCTGATTCATTACTTATTTTTCCAAATTAGCCTGTATAAATTAAGCGCTCTGAATATATTACATACAGTAAACTTGGTGTGTTCTCGTTTATAAACTGTACGACTCCAGATCGAAAAAAAAATGCTATTTTGGGACATTGACAAATACACACTTAAAATACTTGACGAAATCTAGACAAGAAGGCCTGTTTATTTTACCAGCAAATAGAGTACAACTAAATGTGTTTCAAGTGCAGGATTTGGAAGTGTTAAATTATTTATAATATTTAGAACATGCAATTAGTGGTAGAGCTGTAAGCTGGTGCTTTCATAACAGAAATATTTTTATATACAGCTGGCCAGATGGTGAAGGTTGAATTGTATATTTAAGTAACAGGCTAAACATTTCTTAAATGTATTAAATAAACAATCTTTGATATGTTTAAAGCAGTGTAGAAATATGGTTTTAAAAATGTCGAAAACGGATAATGTAGGAAGTTGTAATCTAGCTCAACTAAACAGGATTGTATATCCTAGTGAAAAAGTTTAATAAAATTAACATTTACTTCAAAGCAATATTCGTTTCCATTCACGTATTGTTTACGATAACTTGCATAACTGGTACATAAATTTATTTTAATGTGGAACCAAATTGAAATCTCAATGTCAATGCGTACCTACTAAGTGTGCAATGATGCTGCTTGATTAACTGTTGGTCGTTTAAACTATTTCATTTGTTGCGTTTTATAAAAATTGTGGCTGCTTTCGATGTTTATATTGAAAAAAATGCCAAAGTTTGCTTCAACAATTCTGAGGAATGAAATAAAAGAGTGGATGACCATGTAATCAAACAACTATAATAAAAATGTATGTTTAAAATCAAATCAATCAAATTCCTAAAATAGTCTCCGTTTTAGATGTAGAAAAAAAAAGTCTGAGTTACTAACGTTTTTATTTCCGATTTCCAATTCAATAATACTGTCTGGAAAGACTGAGCTAAAATTTTTCGGAATGACATTACCGGTTTGGGAAATATTCGGCATAAAATAGAATAGGGTTTAAAAAGCGTTCATGGTCGGTGACAAAATGGAGTAATAACTTATGTGACATGGAAATCTCTGACCATTTAGGATTTCGATAGCCAGATTGATTTTACAGTAACGGAAATAGATTCTTCGTTTTATAAAGAAATCCATCATTTTTAACAATTTAGTTCTTCGTAAAAGTAATAAAATTTAACTTTAACCGTGTTTTTTTCTGATATTCTTGATATTACATCTAATAGGAACTGCATTCCGCAAACCTCCAAACCGATCGGAAAGTAGATAGATATCAATTCAATTGTTTGGCTTTATACTCAGATTACTTAATGATCGTTGCATGCGAGATTACCATTTTTCACCGACTGAAGTTAGCAAATTGTACTTTAAGCCTCACACCCTACCATTTCCACAAAGAACCAATATTGCAGTAGATAATGCAAAAGTTTCCGAATCCATTTTCTCCCAGGTTAAGCAAACCGTAAATAATATTCATTGCGAGTCTCCCCATGCAAAGCAGGAGAAAGATCAATAAATAACTGATATTATAGGAATCGCAAGGGATACACATTTATGAAATTAATTAGGTGTCTTAGGGGGTTATCTACGAAGATTCAGAGCCCTTTGAGGCATAGACATATCCATAAATAAGACTGCGTATTCTAAACGCTCGTTCGCATACTTTTATCTTAGTAACTCGTTTTTCCACGTTCAGATAGCCTTAGAAGTATGCAGATTCAAGCAACAAACATTTAATAGCTAGTAAGGTTCAAAAGAGGCATCGATTAGAAGCTCTTTGTGACACAAGCTAATTTCCAAATTTTACGACATGGCCAGAAAGAAATCCTAGTGTATATTGATCCCGATAAAAAAAGCAACTTGCAACTAGATAAATAATGCACGTGGTRAAAAATTTTCAGTAGTTTTGTTGATTTTTAAATACATGCTCACTTATTTAYTTGCAGACAACTRYSTTCATASWAAATTCTCGCAAAKTGCARCATTCATTATCTCACACAATCGCCGTTAAGTTTGTCAGATACTTATGTGTAAGTAAGTAAAATCGGACGATAAAATGAAATAAGAACATTTTGAAGTTAAAGTAGGACAATTCAAAACATGCACAAACGAATAAACAGTAACTATTCTTAAATTTAATGAAGAATTTTGGCCGCGATAATATTCGAATTGCCAAAATGATTTTCAGAAGCACCAAAGACTATCGTAGAAATTACTTTTTGTGATCTGCTCAAATCGCTTTAATTCCAGAGCATCTTTGCTCGAATTTTCAGATTGGCCCGAGACGAAATTGGACGAAAGCTCAGGAAATAATCGCGAAGTCAAATTGTGAATTCGACATTTTCTACCCATTCTCCCATACCACTACTACGGTATACAATACTAATAGCTTTAACAAGGGACTGACAGGAACTGATGGATCTTCAGACATTTTGCAAATGCTTTCTATACCTGTTAAACATTTCTAGTATTGCCTACCCCCGGAATGTTAGCAAAATAGACGGCAAACTGTTCCATTGAGAAGCAGGTACATTTTTCTCGTGAATGTGCTGAGAATGTATAAAAACTAGTCTGCCCTCTTAACAAATGCAGTGAACACTGATCGTTCAAGGCCAAACCAAAATACCTAGAATCATTTGAATACCACTGTAAAAATTAGATTCTAATTTCATTCCTCGGAAAATTGCCGTCAAAGCCAATGCACCAACAGCTAATAACAATGACAACTTTTCAAAGAAGTTCAGAAGCAACCTCAATTCAACAGATGTTTGCCACATCGGTTTCATAGACAAATTTCAAAGACCCAAAAACCGTTTCCACATGTCTGTAAATTTTACCGCTATACATGCATGCACTGTTCACAACGGTTCCA